GATCATTGTGTTAAATCACTCAAAGTGATTTTCTAACGACCCACACAACATGTACAATGGCGAATCGTGGGAGGAGTCATGAAGGATGGGAAAAGGGCCTGTTGAATCGAGCAATTTTTCTCATGCAGTTTCTAAATGAAACTGTTGGGGAGACGCGTCGATTTTGAGCCTTTTGTTTGAGCGCCTCACATGTTTTGTTCAATCAAACGATCCATTTAGCTGTTCCTCCATGATCAGTCGTCTTGACTAACAATTACCTGATACTTAAGTTATTTTAGAACCTACCTATCCTCTCCTCTCGTATCCATCCGTCCATTATTCACCACTACAAAACAACTCCCCTGCCATTACTTCCTTATTTTTTTCACGAGTCTTCAATTTCTTGCTTTCTACGGCACTGTGCTCTCAACTATGGCTGACGAATGTCACCTCACGCAATCGCAAGTCATTCTCTGTGGGTGGTTTCTGTTCACACAGTAAATCGGATACCCCTTCTTATCTCAGAAGTGGGTATACTAAAAAGCGTTGATGAGCAATTCAGTTCATACTACACAATGTGTTGCTTTTAAGGCATTACTGAAACCTTCACTACCACATTATTCTTTTAGGGTCGTGAACATCTACATTCACAACCCCACTGAGGTTGTTTTATCACAGTGAAAAGGGGTGGAAAAATCAGTGCAGCAGTCACTTGAGCAGATGCGACAATGTTGACTGCTATCATTCAGTATCTGCCTGCACCCACCAGCTTATTTCTATCTACTTAGTGATGGGACATTTTCTCCATTCAAACTGACTAAGGCTAATACAGCTTCATTTCTCAACCAGAAAACACCTCAATACCCTTGTGCATGTATGCGTTCATTTTTCACTCCAAAAGGAAAGAAAAAAGAAAAGAGTGATGGAAAGAAAGACGGAGGGGGAAAAAGAGGGAAAGTGAGAGAAAGGGAGCAGTATAAGTGGAAAACACGGTCTTAGATATACACTGTTGCATGCTCTTCATCCTCCTCCCCCTTTTTCTTTTTCCGCTGCTTATCCGCTTCGCCTCAAGGTCAATACGGCTGGAAATGTCTTTGGAGTGAAGAAGTGAATCTTTTTCTTTAGTCTCTTGACAAGTTGCATTACATCCAGCTATGTGAGTCGACATAACTTGACCACTATAATCAGCCAATCACATCACAGAATGTGGGGTACATCTCCCTTCTTAAGTGACACACATTAAAATGCTCAAAACTGTGTTACCATCAGCTAAAATGTCAATCAAAGATGTAAAAAAGAATTTTTGGAGTAGAAGAGGTATCATTACGTCAATATCATCATCATTTGTTAAACAAAGGCAGTTCTTTCTCCTCCCTTTTCGATTTCGCATTAAAAAGGTGACAAAGACTTTATTTTGACGGTGCAAGCCATTAGTTTTTGTGGTTAGGTCAACATATTGATAGTGTGACTTCAGCGGCGCCCTCATTATCCTTCTTTACTTAAGCAATGAACTTTCCAACCCCCTGCTGGGCCTTGTAGTGCCCCCAAAGATGATTCTACTTGAGGAGTCAAGTGTTGAATCAACCCTACAAATATAGGAAGCAATCCTGATGTCCCAGATGATGGACCAAAGTATTATAGAGATATGGGACACGCATTTTTGAAGGCGGAATCTTAGCAGACCCGCAGCAGACGGGTCTAAATGAAACTGTTGGGGAGACGCGTCGATTTTGAGCCTTTTGTTTGAGCGCCTCACATGTTTTGTTCAATCAAACGATCCATTTAGCTGTTCCTCCATGATCAGTCGTCTTGACTAACAATTACCTGATACTTAAGTTATTTTAGAACCTACCTATCCTCTCCTCTCGTATCCATCCGTCCATTATTCACCACTACAAAACAACTCCCCTGCCATTACTTCCTTATTTTTTTCACGAGTCTTCAATTTCTTGCTTTCTACGGCACTGTGCTCTCAACTATGGCTGACGAATGTCACCTCACGCAATCGCAAGTCATTCTCTGTGGGTGGTTTCTGTTCACACAGTAAATCGGATACCCCTTCTTATCTCAGAAGTGGGTATACTAAAAAGCGTTGATGAGCAATTCAGTTCATACTACACAATGTGTTGCTTTTAAGGCATTACTGAAACCTTCACTACCACATTATTCTTTTAGGGTCGTGAACATCTACATTCACAACCCCACTGAGGTTGTTTTATCACAGTGAAAAGGGGTGGAAAAATCAGTGCAGCAGTCACTTGAGCAGATGCGACAATGTTGACTGCTATCATTCAGTATCTGCCTGCACCCACCAGCTTATTTCTATCTACTTAGTGATGGGACATTTTCTCCATTCAAACTGACTAAGGCTAATACAGCTTCATTTCTCAACCAGAAAACACCTCAATACCCTTGTGCATGTATGCGTTCATTTTTCACTCCAAAAGGAAAGAAAAAAGAAAAGAGTGATGGAAAGAAAGACGGAGGGGGAAAAAGAGGGAAAGTGAGAGAAAGGGAGCAGTATAAGTGGAAAACACGGTCTTAGATATACACTGTTGCATGCTCTTCATCCTCCTCCCCCTTTTTCTTTTTCCGCTGCTTATCCGCTTCGCCTCAAGGTCAATACGGCTGGAAATGTCTTTGGAGTGAAGAAGTGAATCTTTTTCTTTAGTCTCTTGACAAGTTGCATTACATCCAGCTATGTGAGTCGACATAACTTGACCACTATAATCAGCCAATCACATCACAGAATGTGGGGTACATCTCCCTTCTTAAGTGACACACATTAAAATGCTCAAAACTGTGTTACCATCAGCTAAAATGTCAATCAAAGATGTAAAAAAGAATTTTTGGAGTAGAAGAGGTATCATTACGTCAATATCATCATCATTTGTTAAACAAAGGCAGTTCTTTCTCCTCCCTTTTCGATTTCGCATTAAAAAGGTGACAAAGACTTTATTTTGACGGTGCAAGCCATTAGTTTTTGTGGTTAGGTCAACATATTGATAGTGTGACTTCAGCGGCGCCCTCATTATCCTTCTTTACTTAAGCAATGAACTTTCCAACCCCCTGCTGGGCCTTGTAGTGCCCCCAAAGATGATTCTACTTGAGGAGTCAAGTGTTGAATCAACCCTACAAATATAGGAAGCAATCCTGATGTCCCAGATGATGGACCAAAGTATTATAGAGATATGGGACACGCATTTTTGAAGGCGGAATCTTAGCAGACCCGCAGCAGACGGG